TCATCTGGCTTATGTTAATTGGGGATCCTTTTGAACCACACTGTGACATGATCAGAGGACTATCTGGCTCAAAGAAAGCATGAAGCCCTTCAAATTCTGCATCTCTATTCTTGTCCTTCAAGCTCTCTTCAACATTTCCCCTACAACCAACGCAGATCCAGCAGACTGCCCTGGCGTTTTCAGAGAATACATTGGAGCTGAGGGCAAGAATGTCACATTCTCTGATGTCCCAATTAATCCAAATATTGAGTTTCACTTCCTCTTCTCCTTTGCTATAGACTACAAAAACACAACATCACCAGAACCCACTAATGGCGACTTCTTGGTCTATTGGGACACTGATAATCTATCCCCTTCTCAGGTTTCTTCCATCAAGGCCCAGTACAAAAATGTTAAGGTAGGATTGAGTCTCGGTGGTGATACAGTGAATGGTAAAAATGCAACCTTTGCTCCTACTTCAATTACTTCTTGGGTGAGAAATGCAACATATTCAATCACCAAGATAGTGAAACAATATAACCTGGATGCAATAGATATAGATTATGAACACTTCAATGCAGATCCAGATACATTCGCTGAGTGCATCGGGCGACTGTTGTACTATCTTAAACAAAACAATGTCGTCTCTTACACATCAATAGCACCATATGCAGATGATTCAGTGCAGGTGCACTATTTAGCTCTCTGGAGAAAGTATGGTCATCAAATAGACTATGTCAACTTCCAATTTTATGCCTATAAAAAGGGCACAACCATTACTCAATTCCTGCAGTACTTTGAAACCCAGAGGTATAACTATAAAGGAGGCAAGATTCTAGTGAGCTTTGGAACTGATAACAGTGGTGGCTTGTCTCCTAAACATGGATTCTATGATGCATGCAGCATACTAAGGAGTCAGGGAAAACTTCATGGTATCTTTATTTGGTCGGCAGATGACTCTATGGAGGATTGTTTCCTATATGAAAAGCTGTCACAGGACCTCTTAGCAAGTGCAATTTGAATATCTTGCAATTATTAAATATAATCTTTTGTAAGCCATGACAAAAATAGAAAAATTGTAACGCAAGAGAATGTTATTGTTTATTTTGAAGGCTTCTCTAGAAAATAAAACGTGTTTGAGGTAGTTCTTTTATTGTGGTCTTAACATCACAATCCTGAAGCAAACTATTTCAGATTTACAATTCCCAAATGTGCTAAACCTTACTCTTCACATGAAAGTATTGAATATAGTTGGTTTAGTGCATTCCATGAAAGAGCAGTTATAGGATAAGTACATAGAAATATGAGAATCAAAATAGGATGTAAAATGTAAGGAAATAACAGCCCACTTCCCTTCTAGCAAAGTAAATGAAAACCATAATTAAGTCAAATTTCAAAGGTGAAAGAAGAACGGAAGGATGTAGGTGTCCTTACACTCGCACTATTAGCTTCCAGAGAGTAGTAGAGGAGGACAGGAGAAACGAAAGGAGATTTTTTCTTTATTACTCTTTTGGTGCAAAAAGTAATAGCAGATCAGCATTCATAGTTTTATGCTTCTCACTTTCAAATGTTATGACTGTGCTGTCTAAATTTTTCGATAAGTGCTTGTGGTGTTTTTTATCAAGTAACACAAACACAGTTGTTTCGTACAAACACACTCTCACTATCCAAAAAAATCAGAAAGCTAACCAGTCAATCAAAGATTGTTAGATACATATATTTCAAATTGAATCATAACTCATAAAGAATTACTCAAACAGTAATATCAATACAGCTTTAGCAATAATATCCACAAGGGATAATTTTCTGAAGGTATTACATATATAAAAAAAAAATTAGTCTGATCCTCACAATTAGTAGCAACACAAGAAATAATCTTCATACAGTTGAACTAATTCAATTACTTTTCACCTTTGATTCTCCTCTTTTTACTCTTGGTTCTTATTACTCTGCTCTTCTGAACTAGCACTGTCTGTTTTTTTTTTTTGAGAATGACTTTGCTTATGTACAACTATAAAGTACCAAGTGAACAATTTTTTTTAAGGATATGAAAATTAGCACATAAATTATGATATGTCAAATAAACTTTGTTAGATCCATAATCATTTGAAATTGAATCGTATCTCATTAAATATAACTCAAAATGTCATTTGAAATTTTATATCAATACAGCTTTAGCAATGATATCCACAAGGGACATTTTTCCTACATAAAAAAGCATTACTCTGATCCTCACCAATACTAGCAACAACAGCAGCAGCAAAAATCTCATACAATTCAGCTAACTCATTCACTTTTCACCTTCAATTCTCCTCTTTTTACTCTTTTTCTTATTACTCTGCTCTGCTGAGCCAGCATTTTCACCCTCACTGCGATCCACGCTCTTCCTCTTCTTCCTTTCCTCCTCCTCCTTAACCCTCAAATCTTCTTCCACTTTCCCCACCACCTCACCCTCATTGTCATCAACACCCTTATTTTTCGTTTTCTTATTTTTTGTGTCCCTACTTATCATACCATCTTCCTTAACTTCCTCGAACTCCGATTCCCTCTTCACATAGCTATCCATTTTAACAAACTCCAGCTCATTTTTCTTGGATTTTGCTGTCTCTCCTTCACTTATATCGAGCCGGTGCTCGGTCTGGATCAATTTCTGATCCTTTTCAAGCTTCTTGCTTTTATTATCAAGACTGTTGCTTTTTCTGCTTTTTTGTGACCCATTTGGGAAATCATCATTCTTAACTACATCTTCAGCCTTTAAACCAACTTCCCTAATTTTCTTCCTTCTTTCGGAATTTTCCTCAACTTTGATAGAAAGCTCATTTTTTGCACTATTTGGTCTAAGTTTCTCATGAAGCTGAACAAGTTGATTGAATGAATCAGCGGCACGTTGGATATATATGGAGACAGAATGTGAAGCTCCGTTTTCTGATGCAGCAAATTTGGAGAGCGATTTCGCTGCTTGAGAAAGAGAGATTGGGGTTGTGGATGTTAATTTCCCTGATATTGTCTTCATTGGCTTTGAGATTTTGGTTCGATTTTGGTTGCTAGAGTAGCGGTGTCTGCTGGGGTTGAGGGTTACGGAGAGCTAGGGCTTTTGTTAGGGTTTTATGATGATTTTGACATTTGAGTTTCAGATTTTACCCGACCCAATACCTTTTTCCTTTTGAAAATTTTCATAAATCACTATCTTTTAGTAGTAATTAGCAATCTATAGATACCATTTGCTATATTACGGATTATAGATACATTTTTTGTAGTTATAAGATGTATTTGATGTATTTAAGCTATTGTATTCATGAATATAGTAGCAAAAATAGGCGTGAACCAGGGAAGTCCACCTAATCAGTTGTTGTATTCGAGTGTATTCGAATGTATTCATGGAGTGAAACACGAGATTACAGTTTGACAGATTATTGTATTTGACTGTATTCACGACGTGAAATAGGGGATTACACTATTTTTAAAACGGGAAGTGAATCAATTAACATAATAGACTCCTAATATAGCTCAACAAACTCAATTATAACATACAAGTCCAACTAGGAGATGGCGGCGGTCGTGGAAAGAGGATTCGGTTTCGGAGATCCATTAAGTGACGATTTCTTTCTTTCGCGATGAAGAAGAACATTTCTTTTAATATATTTCAATGTAATTTCAATGTATTACGCTGTATTTTCATGATTTTCATTGTATTCATTGTCTTTTTTTCATTGTAATTCAATGTATCTCGTTGTATTCCATGTATTTTATTGTATTCTCTATCTTTTTTTTTTCATTGTATTTCAATGTATCCCGCTATATTCTATGTATTTCATCATATTCACTATTCATAGTTTTTTTTTAATTAATATAATTTATGTATTCAGATGTATTATATAATTTCTCTGAAGATTGCTATGTTTTTGGGGTATTTTTTGGTTAAGAATCTTTTTTATAACTGAAAATACAAATTTTGTGTGTTGTAATTGAGTTTATGGAATTATATTAGGAGTCTAGTATGTTAATTGATTCACTTTCCGTTTTAAAAATAGTGTAATCCCCTATTTCACGCCGTGAATACAGTCGAATACAAAAATTTGTCCAGCTGTAATCTCATATTTCACTCCATGAATGCAATCGAATACACTCGAATACAACAACTGATTAGCTGGACTTCCCTGATTCACGCCTATTTTTGCTAGTGTATTCATGAATACAATAGCTTAAATACATCTTATAACCACAAAAAAAGGTATCTATAATCCGTAATATAGAAAATGGTATCTATAGATGGCTAATTACTACTAAAAGATAGTGTTTTATGAAAATTTCTCTATAAAAAAATACAATCAGCGTGGAACACTTGGGCCCAAGATTAGTACCAAGAACTTGATATTAGTAATTTGTGTTCACAATCAGAAACTAAAAAAGTTAGACGAACAAATTAGAAACTGAATCGAAAAAAATAAAGTTCCAAGACTTACAGAAAGTTGTGTTTTTTTTAAAGAATTTAATCCCCTCGTTGTTTCTCAAAATTTTCGGATTAATTTCTCCTAGGATAAAATGGAACAAGTATTTTGTAGTATCGGCAATATAAATTACAGTGAACTTAACAAACGGCTGGAAATCACACTAGACACTTACTTTTTCATTTGAAAACTATGCATAAATGCATAGAAAAGAGGAGAAAATATATGCAGATTTTTCGATGTTTAGTATATGAAAAATTAGGCTAGCCCTCCGCATTTATAGCCAATGGTTTGGGTTTCAACATATGCCAAGATACCTGTTCGTTTGACAAGATATTTTTTCGACATAAATTAATCAAATTTATGTTAAGTGAATTGTTTGGTCGCAAATTTGACGTTTGGAAAAAGTTAAAATAAATTTATACCGCAAATTTTACTTTTAAAAATTTGCATGAGTAATTATAGGAAAAAGGAAATTAATAAATTTGGTCCAAAAAATATATCAATCAATTAGATCATTTGACCAAATCCAAATCTAAAGCCGAGCGAGCGCAATGACGCGAGGCACCAATTCTTCTCAACTTTTTAAGAGGTAGAAGATATGCTTCTCTATATAAGCATAACAAAATGCCTTAACAAAAGGAACATTTCAAGTTTTTCATTTCCCTCCAATTCTTTTCCCTCCATTTTCATTCAAACCTCTTTATCTTATTAAATAAAACTCAACGCTTGAGTGTATCTGTCTCTAACATATGTTAATGAAATGAACCTTAAGCCTAACTTAACCTAAGATCATATAAGGAAACAACAACGCATTCCCTACGGTAAATATGAGACCATCAACACATACATTGTTGGATATTCTTATGCGAATTAAACAAGTTCTCAATGAGATAAGAGAAACGTTATCCACTAGATATTGTGTAGAAATATAGTGATGGTAATTATAACTTGTAAGCTAGTATAGTTGAAACAATTTCTCCAATAATTATGGTGAAGAGAAGTCAAACAAGTGAAGCTAATATGTGACAATCAAGCTGCCTTCCCATTGCCTGACATCTAACTTTTCATGAAATGACAAAACATGTATAAATGGATTGTTGTCCTTCAAGTAAAAGATGGATTGAGATGGATTACTATAAACATGGCGACTACCATTTTACAGTCCAAGAAAGGGAAAAAAACATCGCCAACAATTGGTTCAGCCAAAAAGGTAGCGACTACCATTTTACACACAACACACACACTCTCTAATAGCAATGTTGTAGAAAAAAATATAATGTTATGGAACGCCAAAAGAATCAATTTACATTACCTTGACATTGTAAAAAGAAGGAACCTTTTGCGGACCAGAACACATCTATTAAAGTGACAGGTACATCATTGACCTCTTCAAACATGTGAAAAGTCTTGCCCCAGATTTAAAGTCCAGAAATGGTGAACTCCAGAAACAAAAAGTGCAATTCCCTTTCTCACAAGTTACTTTTCTATCTTGACTCTAAATAAACGTAAACTAGGAAATTTATGCCAAAAGCATAAATTCCACTTCCGAAAATTATAATTCAAATTTCCTAATTTGCTTCTATTGCTTCACAGACTGTACACTACTCCTATTCCTCTAACAAATGGTTGGATAGCTAGACATTCTGCAACTCCTTGAGGGAAGATTCCCAATATGAGTTACCAATATGCCAAGACTTTTTGCAAATGCATCATAAAAAATACTAACAAAATCTGCATCAGCAACCATGGAGTAACATAAGGATGTGTTACCATAGGCTGGAGGAGGGACTCCCGAAATTACGTTTTGCCTTAAATAAAGATGAAAACAATGTCACCCGTAAACATGATTACCAACAGGGGCCAAAGTAACTTTCTACGTTATAAGGTTGGTGAAACCAATCTTCCAGGTGTTGGCAAGACTGCCTCCTTCGACGATTTCTTTTAAAATTCACCTGATGTTGCATGGTCAATGCTAGAATCTGCATATCACGCCACACGAAGAAAATATTGTAAGTCGTCTACCTGTACAATCAGTGCCAAAGAAGATAAAAGGTAAGATGGTTAAATCAAGAAAAGAAGCACCAAATTAATATCCAATAACATCTGACAATGCTCCAGCTTTTCCAATTCCTTCCTCCCCCAAACCCGAGAGTGGGTGCCCCATGAAAAATAGAAGGAAAAACAGTAAGTAGAAGGAAAAAGGGGAGAAATCTGAAAATGCTATCCATTAAAGCATTTTGAAGAATAGTTCACAGATTAGGAACTATAAAAATAAATTTTGATGCACAATATGCAATGGAAGAAGAAAACAAGCAGCTGCATTGAAATATCAAGCCACAAAAAGAGTGCATATTCTCCTCATATTAAATTCATCTTTACCTCTGCCATTATCCTTCGAAGAGAATTCAGCAGCGCCTCCCAAATGCCATTGAGGCATTGACAAAATATTAACTTTGCAGAACCAGACAAATTCATTTAGAAGTCCTAGGATAACATAGGTTCTGATTGATAATTCAGCTCAACCTGCTGAACACTGGCATAGACAAAGGAAAGACAAAACACAGGGAAACAAGGGATTAGTTAACTTGGACTGTACGAAGAACATCAAACTATAAAGACATTCACAAGAATGACAAGAGAAGAGGGCAAGAATAAAGGATAAAATATGATAAGTAGAGGGATCAAAATAGCCAAGTTATTCTGGAAGTATCCTACCAAAGCAGACGTTTGGATTTCATTGGATTTTAGAGATTCACCACAGATGGAAAAGACACTTTAATATGCAGCTAGAATTTAGGAGCTACTACAATAACTCCAGGTAATTGGAACAGGCTAGAAAATCATTCCTCTAGATTATTTTATGAAAAGAAACCATTCCTCAGAATATTACTTCTCTGATCTAGCAATAAGACCTTAAAGGTTGTGTAGATTAATCAATTTTCTCCCTTTGGAGCTTCTGATGATTAGCTTATTCAAATAATTACGACATACATATAAGATACGTTAAGGTTCAAGATTAAAATTTTCATGCCAAAATATCAAACACATATCATTGCCGAAGTTTAAACATCCCAGTGCCTATCTGCATTGGTATGCCCATGATGATGCATTCGCTAACTCCTTCTATCTTATCATCCCTTCCATTTACAGATGCATTAAACAGGTGGTCGGTTGTCTTCTCAAATGAGGCTAACATCAGTACGCTATCTTTCATTTTCTGAACGCCATGTCTGGTTATTCCCAGAACTTCACCCTATGATAGAAAAAAAAAGAGTGTCCATTAAACTTGTTAATCGGACATTAAAGGAATCCAACATGTTTTTGGTTGAGGAAAATTTTCCAGGAGAACTACCTTATATGTCATCAGATCTGCTAGAAGCATCATGTGCCGCAAGTCTATTGTCATTCCATGACTTGACATGGTATAGTTAATCTCATCAATTATAGAGATCCTTGCTGCTTCAATGCCTAGTCTTTGTTGCACCTCCATTATATGATTACTCTTTGTATTACGCCCATCAACTCCGTCAATGCCCATTACGGCTAGGAGACCGGTACTGCAGAAAGGAAAGAGCAAATCAGGTATCGTGTGGAAGGACTTCTATTTTATTGCAAGAACTAACTGGATCATGGAGTCCCAGAAAAGAAAACCAAAAGCCCAAGCTGCTGAAAATTGAACCAAAACAGTAAGGTAGGACTGTTATTCTCTTGTACACTTCTTCACAAGATCCTCGAAACTATATTAGACAATATTATTTTGAAATAAAATTTGATTAGATGAGTTGCTAGCCTTCCAGTTAACCTCTCAATCAAAGAAACAAATACAGATTTTCTGCACATACTTTATAATCCTTTCAAATTCTTTTTAATGATCTAACTGCAACAAACCAGCCCCAAAACATCTCCAAATCATGATCTTGTGATTCAAATTGTTCCATTAATTACTTTTTTCCAATTGAAAAGATAAATTTCAAAGTTATTCCTTATTTGATTTTTAAAAATGTAACAGACCTAAACTTACATAGATAAATAAATATTTTACAGTGCTCCTTCTTTCTAACAACTTAAACTTTTAGATGAGGTAGGTGAGACGCTTCAATATGGTATCAGAGCCTCCAGAATCTTGGTAGAACATTAATTTTCATGTAACAGCCGACAGCCTTACACTGCCTGCATAGACATAAAATGCAGCCCGCAGTTACAGTTTTTTGTCTTCTTTCATATAGTTGAGATCATAATTGCATTTAATTTTTAAATTAATTTGGTGTATTGTTATGATATTTAGACTATGTCTAAATCATTAATTGCAAACATAGCATGCGTATGCAGGTCCCAAAGAAAAAATAACAGAAAAATTTGCAACAACTTTACTGGATTTTAATGTGTATTTGTAGCCATTGACTAGTTAAATACACTATGTTTGCTAATGAATATACTTTTAAAATTAAGATTTACCAATTTATTTTGATAGATACAATTAGATGAATATCTAATGTTAGAGCTATAAATAATTGAAGATAATCAATTTGGTAAGGGGCCATTATCAGTCCGAGACTACCCTGGCCTGTCCAAAAGGAGGTTAAAAGACTAAGATTGACCCAAGTTCTAATCTACTTCACTTTAAGCAATTGTTTGAGAAGGAGGTTTCAAATTCTCTAGATTGGTGCAACGTTTTCGATAACCTAACTAGCCCTCCTCTTAGGTTATTCTTTAATTTAACAAAAAAGAANCCATTATCAGTCCGAGACTACCCTGGCCTGTCCAAAAGGAGGTTAAAAGACTAAGATTGACCCAAGTTCTAATCTACTTCACTTTAAGCAATTGTTTGAGAAGGAGGT